TTTAGTCTGACAGGTCCACCTCCGAGAAAGAAAACTCCTTTGGGAATCCCACCATCTGGCACGCTTGTCATTCTTTGGTTTTAAAGAAGTGATTTATGAACCCCTTGGGACTTTCCAATACTGATGCAGAAACCGGCTCTGGCGATTGTATAGATTTAGTTCTAATTTAAACTATTGTAAAATGTAATCTTCCTCCTACTGTAACTCAGTTTGCCCATCCAGCATGAGAGAGGTTGCAATGTAAAATGTTTGTCTGATGTTCTGTCTTCTCTCACTAACTGGAAGTTTAAACACTCCATGTGACCTAAATTCCCTGATGCTCTTGAAATTTGGAGCCACAGTGCCACCTTTTGCACTGAAAAAGAGTGAGGTTGGTTCATTCAAACTAATAACTGGCCGATAAGAGCTGAGAGTAATACCACCCATGGCGGTTTCCGTCTTAAAAGAGAACTCGAGGCCTTCTACAACAGCCCAAAGAGATTGGGAATCTATCATTGTGGTGTGGAAAAGTCCTCCAATGGAGGTTGTGCCTTCTGTGGTCAGCTGGATGTGGTAATGCCTCTCTGGACTCGTTTCGCACACTTGCTTCCAGAAAGGTCAAAACTTGCTTCGCAGAAAGCAATATTTAATCTTAAATTTATTTAATTACCATTTCCTGTGAGAGCCTTGTGTAGGTAGGCGGCTATTACCACGTGTGTATTTGTCCTGTTCATTTGCCTTGGTAAAGGCAATCTTTTTTTTATCTGACTTGGCATTTCTTAAAATGATCAGTTACAGTTATACTTACTGTGTTGAAAACAAATTTGCAGCAGATTCCTAAGTTTCGGAATACATCTTGATAAAGACTGGCCATTTTAAAAGGGAGATTCAGTTTTGCGCAAGAGGGTGAAAAGCCAGATATGTTTTTGAAAAACAAATTCACTGTTATTAATTCCTGTGTGCTACAGTAATATAGCATCCTCCCTGCCCTCAATGCCCTGTCCTGCTCTTCTATCCTCCTCTCTTCCACTGCCGTTTCATCCTCTTCATCCTCTCTGCTTTTGCCATCTCCAACTCTATGTCCACATCCCTTATCCTTCTCCTTGGCTCTGAACTAACCTAAGAATCAAAGGTAGTGTGTCTCTTACAGTTTAAAATGGATGATTGGATGAAAAATAAAAAGGAATCAGTAGTGCCTGTACACAAGTTTGTGTTATTACCTTACTAGCAACATATCAAACATCGTATACCATCTGACTTACTAACACATTAAAATCAACTCAGATAACTTGAACCGTACAATTCGGATTGTCATGGATCCCCAGGCACATTCAGGAGATGAATCAACATAAACTCAACACAGTGATCTCACAAACGTGAAGCACTCCATGGATAGAATATTTTCGAACAGTATTTTATAGTATCATATTGCTACCACATCAACTAATCCTTACACGAAAACAGAAAAATGCTTTCCTATACAAGGCACATGTAGAAATCCTATTCATAAACTAAAAAATATAAACACATTCAAATGTACCCCGATGATAGTATAGAATTCCTTTACAAAACTCACATCTTCAAATAGGAATAGGAACTTCTCACCATACCACAAAAGCCCTCCTAAGAGACACGCCTAGCACTTATCTCCACATAATACACCTCTAGAGGAACATTATTGACTCAGCAAGAGAATATAAAAATAAAACACAATAAAACGTCGAGCTCTACATTTATAAAAAATGTTTGTTATGCAATACACATATTCTTAGACGTGGAGATGCCACGCACTGTAAATCGAACTACTCGCAGATACCACAATGTCCAAACATCCATTCATCATCAAGAAAAGGTCCCAGAATACAAAAATCAAGTCACTAAACATTTCCTGTTGCTTTGTAAAACACTTCACAGAGAATCAACAACAATGGCAAGGAAATGTCTCCAGACCTTCTGCATTCTTTTCTCCTCCTGTTCAACCTCTGTATTTCCATATCCTCTCTTACCCCTTCCGGGCCTTCTTCTCCCTCTTCTCTCCCACCGTCTCCTCCCCTTGCCACTTTCAGTGCCCTTTCGGGATGCCTACCTAATACAGGTATTATTTTAGTCAGCATTCATAGTCAGGGTTACTCACATTATTCTGGCTCTCATTTTTAGATTTAAACAATGTATTGTGTCAAGTGCCGATTGGTGTTTAAGTTACATATGTTGCATTAGTTCATATGTTAAGAGGTTAGATTAATAAATACATTTAACGTAATCTGTTGGCCAAGTGTCTTTTTTTATAGAGTTTATAAGGTGGGAAACAAATTATTTTTGAAGTTAAGTCAAATAAAATGTGAAAAATATAGTTTGGATATATGTAAATTAACTGGTGTCAATGCAAACATTAATTCATGTTAATTCAGTTAAAAGTGAATACATTAGGTTGGTTCAATTTCAATTTATTAGTTTGGTTCAATAACTAAAATGTTAAGAAAATAATTTGGATCAAGGCAAAGAATTAAGGTTGAGTCAAGTGCATTATTATTGTTTACATCAACATAAAATAATCAGGTCATAAGAAGTTACTCAATTTAGATTCTGTGAAGTCAAATATTTTAGATGTGATATCTGGACATCACTTTTTTTTTAGTTTGAGCAAGGTTATACTTTTTTTCAGTGAAGAAGACTGTGCCAAATGAAAATAAAACAGACTGAAATTATCATTAGTCCTAATTTCTATCAAGCTGCCGAACTGATACTAAATCATGGGGCAATGTGCAATAAACAAACCAGCACCGTAGCACTTAGTCTTTTATTTTTCTTACTTACTCTTTTTAAGCTGCCGTATTGTCAGTGTTAAAATGTAGTGTCTGTAATGTTTCATGCTGATTTCTGATGTATGTTGTTAGTTTCTGTGAAGCAACAGATTACAGCACTGTGCCCCAAATTTCACCTCAGGGACAATAAAGTTTATTCTATTTTATTCAATTATATAATTAATTCATTATCGCCTACCTTTCCGTTCCAAATGTGTAGGAGAAACTACGGTGGTCACAAAACGTCCATTCTGGGCTACTGTAGAAACATGGCAGTTCAACATGGCGGTCTCCATAGTAGAGGACCTACTCCCTTAGTAGATAAAACTGGCTAAGGTAACAAAGACACAACCATTTCTATATTCAGGTGATTATACACTTATGAAAACATACCTATGAATATTATTTTCCATTTCTGACAATAGATCCTCATAAATGTTACACTGGATGTTTAAGTGGGGTCTGAGGAGTTTATTTACAGATTGCAGTTTATATGTTGGCTATACACTCGTATAGCCAACATTGATGACGTCACAGGAGGTGTTGCTGCTAATAGAAAACCTGCATGTAAATGATAGAAAACAAAACATGCTAGTCTTCATCCATGTAGAGTAACAGATTGTCATTTGCTGTTGATTTACCCTTTAATAATTTAATGCTCCATTGCTGACCAAGAGAATTAATGTGGTATACAGCACTTTACTGTAATACTAACCCAGGAACTGAAGAGGAGGATGGCACATTGCAGCCGTGTGTATGTATGTATGGTCAATGTATTGACTGTCTTCCTCAGTGAGGAACCACATGCTCAATGATGTCTGCTGTAGGAAGTGTGTTTGGCTGCTGCATTGGGAGACATGTTGAGCTGATACCTTTATGAGGAAGAGCTGGCTGAACAAACTGTTTGCAATCTTATGGTCAGCTGTAAATCCCATCTACTGTGGTTCAGGAAAAAGGGCTAACAGCAGAATTTACGTGAGGGTCACAAAGCTAACACAAGCAACTAAAGTGAGCACTCAATTCAACTTAGTCTTGAAAAGTCTTTGATTTGCTAAGTTCTAGGACCAAAAGTTTAAGAAGTTACTACTTGACATTTAGATGGCTGTCTGGACAAAAATTCACCTGAGACTTCAAACACAGTTCACATCATTCACTAAAGGCCAGCAATTACACTGTGAGGAAAACTAGCTCTGACAAAGAGACCCTCCCACTGAGTTACAGTGCTTACAAAAAAGGTGAGAGGTTTTTGCAGTTTAAAAAAAATACAATAATTAGTTCAATGGAGAGTCTAACTATAGGTTGACTTTTATTTTAAGTTAAATAGTCTTGTTAAATTTACAAAAGTATAAAGCTGCTCTATTCAAGACTTTCAAATAATGCATCAAATGCATCTTTCAGCTCTTTTGCTTCTACAGCTGCAGTCTCACCACTCTCATTGACCTGTTTTTAAGCTGCAGCTTTTTTCAGTGAAAAGCTGCAATAAATCCACTGTGCGCTACCTGCTAGAACCCGACCAATTTATTGGCCGATATTAGGCATTTTCCAAACTATTGGTAACGGCATTTATAATGGCCATCAAATGAGTATTTTAAAAAATAAAATCGGAGGAAACACCCTTCAACAATGTTATGAGTGTTGGCGTTGCATAGTTTGTCCACCAGAGGGCACTCTACAACGTCCCTGTTTAAAACACTCGTGTTTAGAACCCACAAACCCTACAACCAGCTGATCCAGCCAGAGTCGGGCAGAGCGAACAAGTTATCCACGACTGAGATCGGTGAAGTGTGTTCATGGTAAGTTGGCAACTGTCACGAGACATACATTGCTTGAATAACAATTAAAAGAACATCCCCATCAGTTCTCTAAACTCAATAAGCATGACAAAAGTCATGACTACCATGTCCAGTTTTGCTGCTGTTACGTGTAAGCCGAGAGTGAAACGGATTTAGCTAGTACGTTAGTTGTTACAGTATAGTTGACTGACTGTCGGTTTAACTCAGGTGTCAAACTTACGGCCCGCGGGCCGGACAACTGTAACTCACACTGTACATTTACTGCTAGACCTGATAACTTTCT